ATCTCGTTTGTTGAATGTGTTTTCAGTTAGGTGAAGATGCGCCAGCATGAACGTTTCAGCCTCAATTGGTATGAGCCAAGCCAAGTCCGGGTGCTAGGCGGGACAAGGCGGTGTGGTACGGTGCGGCACATTGTCGGCATGGACATAAATCTGTTTTGAGCATTTTGGCTCTGGCTTGTTTTGTGCATAACGCCGTCGACGACGATGTCGACTGACGACTGCGACACGATGTTGCTGCCATTGCCTTTTTCCTTTTTCTTCCTTTTTCTTCATTACACTTGTTCTGCCTCTTTCCCGGCACTTCCCGCCACTTCTCTCCACTTGTCGTCGTTTTGTCTCCTGACATTGGAAACGGCTGCGTGTTTTTTGTTTTTATTTCCCTCTTTTGCTTATATTTTTTATGTTTTTGCTTCTGTTACTTTTCTGGCTTTATTTGCTTGCAGCAGCTTAAAACTCATAATGCCGTTATAAACACAAACAAGTCTGTGTGAGTGAGTGTGTGTGTGTGTGTGTGTCGTTGTCAAAGGTCAGCGCACGTTTAAGCCAAGCAGCGCAATTAAACGCACAATGCAATTGGCGAAGAGAGAGAGAGAGAGAGAGAAAGAGACAGCAATAGCAGCTAAAGAGAGACAGAGACAGAGACAGCTAAAGATACATAGCTGCAGATACACTGTCACAGATACAGATACATTTCAGAAATTTATAAAAGCTGTTGCGAGTTTTGTTTTTTTTTTCCTGTTAGCAAATAAGCTGCAGCCAGTGACAAATTACGTACAAAGTTGCGCCTGAGAAACAGCTACTTAGATAATCCCCAACACTCAGAGAAAAAATGTCGAAAGTGCTGCAAATAAATCTGGAGCGGAACATTCATTCAAAAACATTTTATTTTGTAATCCCGAAAATCCTAAAGGTAATGCAGCATTCCAAGCATTTAAGTTCTAAAACCAAGAACTAGAACATTTTCCTCTTACCTATTTTGAAGTGCTTGGAATAAGGCTTGTAGAGAGTTGCACTAGCATTGCGTTGCAAGTGTAGCTGCAACTGCAAGATAAAACCCAGTGGGTGCACATGGCAAGCATAAACTGTGTGTTAATTATATTAAACTCAAAAAGATGTTGCACTTCAGCGCCTTGATTCAGATTCATTTTGTGATTTGCACGCAATTCCCCGTTGCGTCGTGTCAAACTGGGTTAGTCACGTAACCCAAAAGTTTTTGCGGCAACGGCGTTGATTAAGTTGCCCAAAAGAAGCTGCTGGGATTTAGCTGAGAAGTGGATGGTGTTGTTGTTTGGGGGAGTACCAAAAGTGTCGCCGCCCTCGTTGTCTTTAGACAGCAACTGTAACACACACACACACACACACACACATGTGTGTGTCGCATATGTTATGGTATTTTTTCTTCTTGTTTTCCACTTGCCGCTCACTAATTAAGTTGCTGGGGCAAAAGTTGAGCGCAGACAGCTGACAGGAAAAGCGCTTTGGTAAAAATATCAGACAACTTCAGTATATGGGACGATTGGAGTGGTGGTGTAAAAATGTAAGCTCATTAAGTGGGCTTGGCTGTTGGCAATAGCTACTCCTTCAAGAAACATCAAAGTAAGCATAATTTGATTAAGATATTTAAGCCAAAGACCTAATCATCATTAGCATCAACATAATCATCCCATGGCCTGGCATGGCATGGTTCATCTAGAAATCACCAGTCTTTGATGCCTCCGTCTCATATACATCATTGATTCCCAGCAAAGCGAACGTAATTTATTGAACTCGCCAACCGGCTGGCTAGCTGGCTGACTTACAAGGGCAGAACCAATAACCAGAGACCCTTGTCTCTGTTGCCTGTTGGCCAGGCAGTGTCTGGGCGGCGTCTTGGTCCTGGCAAAACCTTTTGGGACTTAAATACACAAGTTTTTCCGGGTTTGCGCCGAGTTACGTGATTAATTGTTGGCCATTGCGGCCTTTACATGTTACGTTGATTTTAAGCCATAAGTTGGTTAAAGGCTGTTAGGCATGCATAGGGTGTAGTTCATTACGATCCCATCTATATTAGTGCGTTGTTGTTTTTGTTTTTGGTTGTTGCTGCTGCTACGGTTGGGCCTTAAGGGATGCTTAAAATTGTAACGAATGCAGTAAAAATTAAGTTAAGGAAATTTGTTATGGCTGTGGGTTAAGTTAAGGGACCCCAAAATGTCAATAAATTTATTAAAATTAAGTTAACATTTTCTACATACTTAGTATCTTTTTGTAGATACTGAAATCCCATCGCGTACATATTTTCAACAGAATAAATATTGTATAAATTTGTGCATATCGATTTTGGTCATATTAAATTAAAATTGAAAGTATTTTTTAAAGATTTTCGTTTACCATTTTAACCAATAAAATATTATGATAAACATTTAAATACGATTTTCTACAGGTTTTTATCAGCGTTCATAAAAAATGACAAGAAAACTTAGACTTGCATTTTCTTAAATTTGCAACAAAATCCTAATTTGTTCCACAAAATACAATTTAATTTTAATGGAATAAGTACATAAAGCACATAAGGTATTTCATTTTTAATAGGTGCCAGGCTATTATGAGAGATTACAAGCTCCTCATCAAGTATTCTATTTACGAGCTACACTCGCCGAAAAGTTTTCGTTGTCCGGGAAGCTGTGACAGCTCTGGTTGTCCAAGTAAATGGAAACCAAGAACAATTTCATGAGTGCTCATGTTGCTTATGCATTTTTAAAATGCACTTTTCTACTTATGTCCTTGCGTAAAAGCATTGACAACAATGCAAAAGACAACAACATCAACATCAACAGCAGGCAGCATGCAGCATGCAGCACACAGCAGGCAGCAGGAGGCAAAGTGACGGCAACTTGCAACAATAAGGATGTGTATCTGTTGTTCGTGTATAGTATTTTACGAGTCATTGTTTAATGTGAGGCAACATGTGCAATGTCCAGATGATGATGCACACGCACTCGTATTTCTAATGCAATTTCACAGGACACTCCATGGCATTCCATTATGAGTTTAACAGCTGTCACTGTCAGTGTGTCAGCCATGTCCATGTACACTTTGATTCTGTGGCTTATCCTTGTAATGCACTCAACATTTCAGTCATTCATTTGACAATTAGTTTTTCAAACATTATTAACATTGCAGGAATAGTTAAGACGACTTAAGTTGAGCTCCTGTTTTCGACCTTTTAAGCTGCTGCACAGTAACTGTCATATACAGATTATCGCCGAGGCCAGCTCAATATCAGCAGGGGTCTTTCAATTCCCAAATGAGAACTTACAATATCGCTTTCAGCAGCTCATTTCAGTGAGTTGGTTTGTCCTTTTTGGTTTGGTCAGCAAAAGGTTTAACATAAATTCGAGAGGGCGCTGCCAATAGTGAGTGCCACACGGCTTTTGGGTCGTGTGTGCTTCACACATGCCAGCCATTAAGTTTATGACGCAACAACAATAAAACATGCCCAATACAAAAGGGCTGGCGAGCATCTCACGCTCGTTTTCTTCTGGTCACCAGGGGATGTTTTGGCCAAGCCAAAATACTATAAATAAAACATGCCAGCAGTTAACATATCTACACAGAGATAAATACTTAAGTATTACACAATTTCGATCATGAAAATTGACGAAGAGCCAAATTCCTGATTCATAATCAGTTTTATATACATTATTCTAGTAAAAGGTTTCAGATTTTATTCTTTGAGGTTTTCTTGTAAGTAAACAGTTTCAATTGCTTGCTTGAGACTTGATGTTAGTATGCAATTTTTTTCTCGGTGTACTGCCTGCGCTGCCCACAACAACAGAGTGAAAAAAGCGCAACAAAAAACTGTAGCTGCCTCAAAAGTCAGACCAGGGGGGCTCTGGCCTGGCTACAGCTGAAGTGTCTGGTCAGCGCCAAAAATCAAACATGTTGAGCGCCAGATGCGCCACAGAGCAGACAATGAAGAAGCATCCCATGTGCCATGTAGAATATGTATATGTATGTGTGTGTGTGTGTGTATGTGTGTGTGAGTGTGTGGGACTTGTGGTTAACAATGGTGCCCCTCCTTTTGCCCATAGTTTGTTAGCCTTTGCGGTTGCAGCTGTGCCAGCCCCCAAATCCCTCGGGGAATCGACTCAATTTATTATTGGCGCTAGTCGAAAGCCGACGAAAAAAATAAAATAAAACAAAAATTGGCTTTTTAAAGCGCACACGAATTCGAATTAAATTAAATAAAACGAAGAAAACATTATTTGGTGGGCTGGATTGCAGGCGGTGCTGTCTGGACTAAGGCGTGGCATTTAACGCGCTCGCTTTTTCTTTCCTATCTGTAAAAAAAAGGCTCAATTTTCCAATTGAATAATTGTCGCCGGCAAGTTTTCACTTTTGTTGGCCAGACGCAGCCAAGCAGCAAGATGGCGGCAAAGGCAAAACGGCACACAGACGAAACGAAGGGCCTAAGAAGACCAACAGGACGAGCAGGACGATGGCAAGATAGGCTAGCAACTGGACTGGGCGCAATGGCTGTGTCCATTCAATGGCTCAATAGTTTGCCAGCGCTTCAATGTTTCAGCGTTTCGAGTGTTTGCCTTGCCATTGAATGGCTTTTGCCAGCGCCTTGTCTTCGCCAACCTTTTCTTTGCTCTCCCTCTCATGTTCGCCAAACTCTGCACACAGAAAAAATGTAATAGAAAATCAGACTAAAAGTAAAATCACTTCGAATATCAGAAATCAAAATTGATTTTTAGCAATAGTTTAAAAGAACATATCCGATTTTTTTTATGCAAAGTAGCTTTAAGTTTGTTCATGTTAGAATTAACGATATCAGTCTTTGAATATATATTTTTAATTTTTTGTTTTTTTTTTCTGTTTTGCTCTCTTTTGATAGTTTCTATTATAATTGCATTTTAGTGTCTGGCCATATTTTTTCTCTGTGTATCTCGACATTACTCTCAATCGAACCTAAAATGCTGCAGCCTTTTAACAACAATTTTCTTGTCTATTTTCAGGATGATTTGCCGGGCCAAGCTCTGCTGGATGTCGTTTTTGCTAGGCTCAATTTAATCGAGACTTCATACTTTGGCATACGCTATATAGACGATGAGAATCAAACGGTAAGTGACGAGCAAAGGGGTTGGGGGAGGGACCGATGCAGGCACAGGATATAACTGTCGACTGGCATATCCTGCTACTCCTCTGTGCTTGTTTTTTTTTGGTTTTCTTGTCTCTGGCTGCTGTGCAAACTTATTGGTTTTTGAAATTCATTTTCGTTTTCATTGAAATTCATTGGGGCGCATTGAGTTGCTTTTAGAAAGGAAAAACAAAAAGCCCACAGCACGACCAACTCTTTGAGATCCTTTGACGCAGCCGGCGAGACGAAAGCGCCTGCGAGGCAAATTATAAAATTTCGCTTTCCTCCCAAAACACACACACAGGCATTGGCACAGACCTCTTTTCATTGAAATTCACTTTTATGCCACTTGCCGCACGCACATTAGTGTCGCGTGTGTGTCCTGCGTGTCCTGCATGTGTGTGTCTGCGTGTGTCTGCCTTTATGTTTGGCCATAAAAAAGCGCCTGCACATAAACTCACCTGTCAACTTCAGCCAGCTGTCGCACTCACATACACCACACACCACACACACTTGCGATGTTATCAATTTGATATTTATTTTTCTATTTCCTTTTTTTATTGGGTATTTTACAGCACTGGCTGGATCCAGCGTCACGCATTTCCCGTCAACTGAAACCTAAATCGGATCCCTATGATTTGTACTTCGGTGTCAAATTCTATGCCGCCGATCCGTGCAAACTGCTCGAGGAAATAACGAGGTGAGTGCATTCAATGCATTCAATGCAATCATTTAAAAAATATATACAGGTATTTTAATTTATCCTGGCACATTACTCATTTCGGTTTGGTGCTTTACATTTTAAACGTTTCGCATTTCGCATTTATTATACAAATTCAATTTATTAATTGCCAGCACACTCGCAATTCAATAAATAGCAAATTAAACTTGGTCGAAGGACTGAGAGCGCATCCTTCGCAGAGGGCAGCCAACTAATGGATGGTGCAAAATGAATTTAATGCATTTATGCATAGTATGCACATCATGCCGGTTAAAATTGCGCACAACTAAAGTAGGGATGCTCCAGTTGAGAATTATCGACCAGTAAATACCTTGTTAAAATAGGATATTTTTTGGTCTGAGGTACTTGGAAAATATTTCTAAATAAAATTTTTTTAGCCGATTGGCAGGAAAGCGAGTTGATATTTAATAATATAAAGTCTTTGATGCTTTCAAATCGAAACAAGAAGAACTACTACTAAGAAGAATCGAGTAAAAGTCGATTTCTTAATTTTAATTTCAAGTAGTAATACTGATAAAATATAAATCATTAATAATAAATTTAGTGTCTCATTTTATGTCAAAAATTCATTCACTGTATTCTTTATAGAACTCAGTATTTTTCCTCTTCATACTTATATAAATAGCCGACCTTAAGTTGACCCCTTTGCATAAATTGCATCGACCAAGGGTATTAAAATGCCAATCGTTACGAGAATTTTCGTGTGTGGGAAATTGCAAAATTCCCCAAGGATAATTGGGCAGGGGGCTGCTGCTCTTTGGCTTGTGTCTGGACCATGGTCCACTCCTGGTTGGCAATTGTCGTGCTTTAGCAATGCAGTTAGAGCTGCATTCATCAAGCATTTGGTGTGTGCAAATATTTGCGCTTAATACGACGACGACACGTAGCCGCCATAATCGTCACCAAGTGGACTTATTCAGTATAACTGTCTGACTAACTAGATCTGCGGGCGGCCAGTTGGAGAGCGGTGGATGGGAGAATGCATGCGGAAATGCGGATGCCAATCGCTGGCCAAACATCATCAAAACTCGCGCATTCAACGGATGATAGAGCTGCGCTAATATTGGCGCATATAAATCCGTCGAAAATGCAGTTAAATGCACTGGAAATGAAAATGCACTTATAACGCAGCAAACAGCAGTTGGCAATTCTCTGGGAATATTATTATAGAAGCGACTGTCGCGACAGAGAGAGAATTTTGTTATTTTAGCTATACAAAGTCTGCGGCACACAATAAACGCCAATTGACTTTGACGCTGGTTGTTGCATGTTTCCCACATGGGGCTTAAAGTGCTCGCTGATGAGCGCTTTTGGATACAAAAATATATATATATTGATAGACATCATCATTATCATCATCATAATATGTAGGAAAGATAGGAATCAAATGGATTTACTTGTTGAGCAAACAATCAACTTCAACTTCTGCTTGCTGTGTGCAAATAATTGTGGAAATTTGTTGTGCGACCTCTTCAATCGTGTACCCTGGAAAATGTATTAAATAGGGTATATTCAAGTGGTTGTTCTGTGTGTAACAAATAGAGGAAGATATTATTTACTATTATTTACTATTCTCATCTCCGTTTCATCATCATCATTTTGATCTTTGGTGTGCAGGTTCGCATTGAATCCATAATCCATTCCTTTTATGTGGATAATTCAACCTGACTGCAGAATAACAGCTAGTCAAACTTATTTATCGCCTATTCGTTAAATGAGTTGTTTGGCCAAAGTCAACAGTTTGTTTTGGGTGCGTTTTGCGTTTTGTGTGCTTAGGCCAAACATCAAAGACGTATCCAAATAATTTTATGCGGCGATTTGTTTGTCAACTTGTTAACTGCTGCTACTGTTGTTCCACAACGAAAGACAACTAATTAAATTTGTACACTTTTATTTATACACGACAGATATCAACTTTTCCTGCAAGTCAAACAGGATGTGCTGCAGGGACGACTGCCCGTTGCCTTTGAACTGGCCGCCGAACTCGGCGCTTTTGTGGTGCAATGTGAGTATAAAGTCAAATCAAATTCCAACAAATCGACTATAATCAATTGTACCAAACTTACTTATAGCTGAATTGGGTGACTATGATCCGCGGCGTCATTCGAAGGGATATGTCTCGGAGTTCCGCCTGCTGCCCAATCAGAGCAGCGAGTTGGAAAGCCGCGTCTCCGAGTTGCATCAACAGTTGAAAGGAATGTCGCCCTCCAGCGCCGAGCTGAACTATTTGGACAAAGTCAAATGGCATGACATGTATGGCGTTGACTTGCATCCAGTGCTGGTAAGAACTCAAAACACAACACAACATAACACAAAACATATGTTGACATCCAAACTAGCAACCAGTGTTGTTGGTACTATGGATTAAGTTGACATTTTTGCTGACTATAAATCATAACTCAAAAAAATAAGTTTTAAATTATTTTTGTATTTTTATAGTTAGCGTGAATGTGCTAAATATTTTTGTGTCTCAATATTTTTTCAATATAGTTTAAATTTCAATATGTAGGCGACCAATTTAATCAAAAATTTCCCACCAAAAGGTTTTTCTTGATAAAATCATTCGAAAAAAAATGTTTCACTTTAGATTAGAAAAACGTTTTATTAAAGAATTTTAACCTCATATTAAAATCAACAATCTCAAATCAAGTAGATGGCGTTTTAAGATTGTTAACATTGATTTAAGGTAATCTAAGAAAATATTTTAAAGATATTTGGCGTTGCATTGACGTTTGATTCTTCTTGCATTCAAATAATTATTTTTCTTCTTAACCGAACTCCTCTGAGTCTACTTAAAACTTCGACTTTTTGTTGGCAAATGTGACCGTTGTGCCGATGGTGCACTGAGTATACGGTTCACTGGCTTGAGCACTACCCAGCCATAAAAAAGGGGTCAGGGGCGAAAATGCAAAGTTTAATTTCATTTCATGGCAAATATTATAAATCATTTGCTCGCACACATATTTGTGAAGGGAGACCAGCGCAATGATTGCTCCGCACTCGCAACGGAGACACGCCTGGTCTGTCTGTCGTCCAGGCTAACCCGATTTTCAACCCGTTCCCCCTCTCGGCCCACACACTCCCACAATCTCTGGCGTGGGGATGTCGTAGCTGATTTTGTGCTGCGTAAGTTGGCACTTCATTTGCATTTTTTATTGCCCTTTACTTTGATATCAAACCTCAATAAATCACCAGCTGTGTTTGAATACGACGCATGAGTGTGTATATGTGTGTGTGTGGTAGGGGGAGGGGGAGGGGCAGCAGATGGAGGTGGGGTTAGAGGATGGGCATTGTAAACCCTTGTACTCCACATGGCTGTGGTCTGTGCGTCGCGTCTACTTCGGTTTGTTTATAGACACAAATCATTGACTATCACGGCGCCAGTTGCCAGATCCCATAACCGACCTCCAACCCCCCACCCCCATTATCCACATCCCCATCCCAGGCGCGTCTTTCCCTCACTTTTTTTAATTTAATTAACAGCTAAAATTACATTTATTTTCTTTTGTGTGTGCTGTTTTGTTTGGTCTATATCTACACTGGGGAAAAATAGTGCCATAGATTTAAAAGATCTTAAATTCTTTGCTTTAACTATAAATATGCCAACAGTAGAAATTCCCATTAAGTAACCGTCCTAACTTTTTAAACATATTTGGAGTATTTTGTGAAATATTTTAATCATCTATTGAAATCTACCTTTTAAATCTAGTTTTGAAAAATATGGCCAGCGACTAATTTGATCAAAAGTTTTGCGATAAACTAAATACAATGTCGAATATATTTTTTTTCAGTGCAATGGCTGAATGGGCCATAAAGCTGCGTTGCGTCGCACAGCTGCTAATAGGCCAAGATGGCCAACAAACTTTGCTCTTGTTAACACATTTTTTGGCAATAGCCAAAAGAAACTTTTAGCTAAAACAAAGGCTCTCCTTTTGCTTTGGCAAAGTTGCTCCGAAACTCCGAAACTCTCGCAAACTTAGCTCATTCTCGATTCCGTTTTTTATTCATTGCAGGGCGAGGACAGTGTGGAATACTTTCTGGGCCTGACGCCTAGCGGGATTGTCGTGCTGCGCAACAAGACGACGGTGGCTCATTACTATTGGCCGCGCATTGCCAAAGTTTATTATAAAGGACGCTATTTTATGCTCAGGATAAGCGATAAAAATGTAAATTTCAACGCGCCAGGCGACAATCGCAATAGACGATGACGTCGACGATGACGACAACAACAACAACAACAACGACGATGGCAACGACGGCGACGACGTCGAAGTATTTGCCCCTTAACCATAAATATTTCGCTGTCGAGTGCTTCTTACAATTTGCAGTTCGTTTCCCATTGTGCGCTCTTCAAGTTCTTTAGTGCTCCTTTCAAAGAAAGGGTATAATCTGGCACTTTATGCAAGGGATAGCTTGTCACGGCAACACTCGAACAAGTAACTTTTATTCAACGAGAACGTGGATGAAAAGGACAGGTCAAATGCTTGAGAAGATGCAATTTAAGGAATTTGTAGTTGGGCTGCATTGGGCTCTATTCAGATATTGCGAAGTGAAGGATGTATTTTGGCAAGATCAAAGAGAAATTCCAAAATTTCTGATTGAAATTGAATGAATTAAAAAGTTTATACTTTGAATTTATTTAGATATGAACTATATTGAAATACTTCAAAGTGAAAAATGTATTTGAGTTCCAATCTTTAATAGATGAAAGTGTGCCTAATTTGATTGTATAACTTATAAGATCCTTAAACTTTCAAACTTTAGAATATTATTTTTACTAAATCAAATAAGTTATATTCTCTCTCTCTCTCTCTCTTAAGGGATTAATAATTTGCACGCATTTTCCAATGTTATCCCATTTCATAAACGTTCTCTTCAGCAATATTTAAATTTGTAGAGCGTATTCAAGTTTCGTTGCAGGAAAATCTATGATTGCTTTTTACAAACATTCTGCAGTGTTGCCAATTTTTACATTTGGTGACAACTTTTTGGCTGTCAGCGTTCTCAAGTGGGTGGAAGCGCTGTGGCACTCGTTAGACTACAAGTAGCTGGTAGCTCGTAGCTGGTAGCTCGTAGCTGGTAGCAGATAGCTCTTCCCTTCAGCTTTTCTAACTTGAACACTTTTTGGTGCTAACGCTTTGATAATCAAAAAACTTTTTCAACAGTTGACGCACACAAAAGCGAAAACTTTACCGTTTTTTTTTTACTTTTTTGCCATATTTTTTTTTGGCCAAGAATTCACACTTTAGATCGGCAATGTGGGAAGTTTGCTTGGTTGCCGAATTCAGCCGGGCATTCATTCACTCAATTTGCCTTTAACTTGGCAACTGCAGCATTTGTCGACATTATCGTCATCATCGTCATCATCGTTGTCGTCATCGTCATCATCGTTGTCGTCATGACTTGACTTGCTGCTTATCACACTTGTGTGTGTGTGTGTGTGTGTTATTCGTTGGTTCTTCTATTTTTCTATTTCCTCCTTGACAGAATGAGCTGAGCACTTATGGCTTCGAAACTCCACGCAAATCGGCGTGCAAACATTTGTGGAGATGCTGCGTGGAGCATCATGCGTTCTTCAGACAGGTGCGCGTCGCTCCTCTACCCAATTCGCAGTCACATGCCGCAGATTTGTTTCAGCTGGGCTCCCGCTTCAGACACAGGTGAGTGCCCCCCATTCCCCCCAAATTCCCTGCAGAGCCGCACCCCTCACAGAGTGCTGCTTCAGGGAAATATGCCGGAAGTACATAAAGGCAACATGCGAGTGGGTGATGGCGAGAGCTTTGGCATTAAAATGAAGTTATTAAGCCGAATTCCCATCCAAAAGGGGCCACAACCAAGATGCGCTTTTCGCCAATTTATTAGCCAGTTTTTGCCAATTTGCAGCGGCCACCGAAAAGCGCAAGCCAATTAAAATGTAGCCAAGCACTTGAAATCCATTTCGAATGTGCACAGTTCATGTGATTAGATCATTAGAGCGCAACACACTAGTCAGTGCTGGGCTATGCAGTTCACTCAATGAACTAGTTCACAGTGCTATGCTACGCTTGAATTATAGTTGTTTCATAGCTGAAAATGCACTCATCCAAATGTGAGCTCCCAGCTAGCTTATTTTTGGTTATAAACTGGTTCATTACATAATGGAACTAAATCAGTAGCAATATATTCATAGGTTCTGGTAAGCAAAGGCCAATTTAAAGTGAATTAGAAGATTTATAAATTGAAGAGAATGGTTTAAATTATACGCCTCGTTTATGGATAGTTCAAGTGTAGTTTCACTTACAGCCTATGCAATTTGAACTGGTTCGTAGTAGTAGCTAGTAGAAAAACAATTGTTGATTCCACTTTATGGCATTTGTTGTTAGCACATACCTTAGTTTATGAGCCATGTTAACTTAGTGCCACGACTGTGGCACTTGAACTAAGTCAAGGCAAGTTGAATAGTTGAAGGCAGAGCATCTCTAATAAGTGCAAGCACATGGTTGGGCACACACATAGTAGATCAAGTTTACACCGAGTTGGGCTACCCAGCTAATTGGAAGTCCAATAAAAATGTCGGATCTGCAGGCAGTCCGACAAACTCAAGTCGAGCGCAAAGCCTACTAATGACTTTCTGTGAATGCCTCCAAGCAAAGATGGAGCTGGAGTCGGAGTCGGGACCCTCAGCCTTAGACACAGCCTGAGCCAAGAGGCAAGCCAGAGCTGGCACCAAAAATGCAAGGCAATTGTGCATGACGAATGTGGCAGGGATCTAGGCTTGGTTCATGTTTACGACTACCATTTGCGGTGGACGGTGGCTGCCCATTTTGGGTCTGAGGGCTGGAGAATTTCTTGCACTTGGCCCCCACGCACAGAAACGAACTTGGTCTAAATCGCATACACGTGGCATGCGAATACAAGCGAAACTATTAGCTGGCCAAAAAGTTTTGGGGCGCCGGCGCAAATACACATTTTACGACTGCGCCAGCGTTTTTAATTTGTGAAACAAATGAAAGTTTTTTACAACCTTTTTATGGTTCACTGTTCATTATTGCCAACAACCATTCAGTGTCTTGAACTATGTGTTCTGTTTTTTTTTTTCTTCTTCTTTTTTATATATATATTTTATTTTTTCTGTTCTGTTTTGTTGCTTATTTGTGTTAATATTTTTGCCTACTTTTATGTTATGCCCAACGACCACATCGCATGTCTGACCCACACCCAACCAAACAACCAACCAACCAACCAACCAACCAACCAACCCACAACCAAAGTCGCTCGGACAAGCAAATGGAGAAGGATGCACTTGCCGCCGGACGTTCCCCGCCAGCCTTTACGCGCGTTCCCTCCAAGCGCCAGCCCCGACGCGTGATTGATGACTTTTTTAACAGCAACAGCGGAGTTGGCGTTGGCGTTGGCGGTGGTGGTGGTGGCAGCAGTAGCGGTGGCAACAGCCTCCCGATTGGCAACCGACCACTGCCACTCCCCCAACTACCGCTGCAGAGTTTGGGCAGCAGCAACGCCAACAACGCTAACGTCATTGCCAAGTGAGTACTCCAAATATCCATCATTTGTTTTCATTTCATGCACAAAAGTTTTGATTTACCCAACATCAGTTCTATATAGAATGCCGGTATGTATCTACACTCGGAAAAAATTAAATAATTTAATGAAATAATTTAATTGTAATGTAAGACTGCTTCCGGATAAATTCGTATCATAAAACAGTTGCCCCGTTAAAACATGTTCACATATTTCTGAAATTAAAGACTTGATTACCCAAAGTAAAATATCTTGTTGACTTAAATACTAAAGTTCTTAAATCAAACCTCATATCAGCATAACATAAATCTAATTTAGCTTGTGTCAAAAATTTATGTTCAATCATTTATTTGAACCAAAATATTTATAACGATTAAATAAGACTTGTTTTTATTTTTAGCATTTTTTCTTTAGTTTAGAACAGAATTTTATGCTGAGTGTACATATATAAAAATATGTATGTATTTTGTTGTGCACACTTGCTCCCGCTGCTTCCTTTTGGCGCAGTTGTCCTTTTTTTGGACTATTTTTTTGTCGGTCATAATTTTGTAGAGAGACTCGCCGGCCGGAAGTGCTCTCATGTTGCTCATTGCAGCATCTTCCTTTGATCTATTTTAATTTTCAACATGCGGGCATTTTTTGCATATTTTTTTTGATTTTCTTTTTTTCTTTTTTGGGGCAACTCTGTCTGCAGGAGCAGAGAAAACCAGGCTAGCCCCTTGGGGGCAGCTTCATATGCAGTTTTTCCATTTTTGGCATAGTGAAAAACCATTCCCGCTTACATCAATTGTTAAAACAAAAATATAAAAACGATGCACAAAACACTTCATCATGGGCCCCATCTGTGTGTGGGTGTATATGGGGATGTATGGGTGTGTGTGTGTGTGTGTGCGTGTGTGTGTTGGCTTTGACAGGCCGTCGCCTTCGCATTGTTGTAGTGTTTGTGATGTCCTTATCCAAGTGCTCCTGTCGTTCCTGCGTTTTTGTGTTTGTGTTTGCCTCTTGTGTTTGCCCTTTTTCGATTTCGTGCTCAAAATCCATTTAGTTGCCATTTGAAGGCAGTTATATTGTCTAGACGCAACATTTATTAAATGTTTTATGGTTCTGCACATCAAATTATATATGGACAAATAAAAATCGGCCATTAGTGAAGCATTCCCGTTAGCGTCCACGTTGGCGCAAAAGGAAATGTTGCCAGGATATAATGTCAAAGAAGCCAGAGCGAGAGTCTAATGGAAATTGAGTCATACGATGACTGCTTGAAGATTTATAAGGGGAAGGATATCAGAGAGAGTTGGGGATCGTAACGGGCAGTTATCGTTTGATGTAGAAATAAAAAGTACGATGCAATTAATTAGTCTTAAAAAGAGAGTGGGAAACATTAAATATAATGAGCTAGCTACAGCAATCACGGGTCAGTGGTTATTAAATATACCACTAAAATATTTAATTATAATATATATCACTCTATTACATTCAGTATAAGAAAAGAGAAACTCATCCTCGACTGCAAATACATCCATCAGGGCAGGTTACGTTTTCTTTTTCTGCGATCAGTAATTTTAAAGCCATCATCATTAACTTGAGCAGTGGCAAATGCCACATTGACCCTCTCAATGTCGCTCGCGTGTAGGGCAACATCTATGCATAAATTATCCAAGATGGTAATAGAAGCCAAGGACTGAAACAATGTAATCGCTTCCCAGGAACACAAGACAACAGCATAGTGAATGATAGAACTGGGAACGGGGAACTGAGCTGTGCTGAGCTGAGCAAATAGCTCACGTCGTTTATCATTTGCAAACAAAAAGGCCAAGAACATCAGGCAGCCCAGGAGCAGGCAGATAGACAGAGATCAGAGAGAGAGAGAAATACCAAGAGAGAGAGAGAGTGAGAGAGAGAGAGAGAGAGAGGTAGTCCAATCAAGTTGCCCACACCATGGCAAGCGGGACATAAATCACAAGGCGCGACCACTTGCAACGGGTAGTTCCTTGTCCCATGTCCCATGTCCCATGTCTTGTGTCCATGTCTGGTTCTGGGATGGGTAGCTTACGTTCGAAATGATTGCCCGCTGATTGCCAGTGCGGCAATTACTCAATTTTACACACGAGCATTATTTGTCTGTGTCGATCTCGCTGTTGCAAACAGAGGGCGATCCTCCGATCCATTCTCCAGGCAGACAGCCTAAATGCTGCAAATGCAACAAATGCAGCAGACTTTAATCAACGTTTATGTTAAACAATTTAAATTTATGGCAAAATAATGCGCGAGCGTTGCAATTGCCGAACATCCCCCCCCAAAAACCCACTTCAATCCACTGCTTTTCTGCCATTTGCAGCAACTACGACAGTCCGTACCGCTCCACGTACAGCATACCCACCAGCCTGGGCATACGTCCCAGCAGCCATCATCATCAGCAGCAGCAGCAGCAGCAGCAGCAACAGCAACAACAATCGTCGTCCAATAACAACTCCAGCAGCTACAATAACAACGGCAGCAATTTGCAGACACCTGACTCGCCGCGCAGCACGCGCAGCGCTCCTTGGCCAAGATCACAGCAGCGTTCCCTCTTTGGTCACAATCCCTCGAGTCCACGTTCGGTGCGTTCGGTTAGCACAACGGGCGGCGGGTTGCATCATCATCATAGTCATCATAGTCATGGCCATGGCACCAGTCATCATACTCATCATCATCAGCATCAGCAGTCCTCGTCGTCGTCGTCTCATCATCAGCAGCGACAGCAGCGCGCCAGCTCCTCATCCGCCTCGCATCAGCAGCAGCGCTATCGCTCCAGCTCCGTGGAGAGTCATTCCTCGAACGATTCGCGCTCCACACGACGGTAAGTACCAGCTGCAGCTGCAGCTGAAGCCAGTTAGTTGACCCAACCCCCTCTTAGACCTAATTCTTTATCTGTGACTAAGTGACTGACCTGTGAGCCAGTGTACAATTACCATGTCAAATGGGTACAGAGTAGAGTTGCACCGAGTTTTACTGTCGGTATTGATACTCGTATTAGCTGTGTTCAGGATGAATTCCTCCAACCTGCTTCTGAAACACATCTCCTTAAAATAGTCAAAATTCGACGAACAAAAAAGATTATATATAAATATTGTCACATTTTATGTATCCATTGCCCAATAATTTGTTGTCGGCCAAAAAGAAAATAAAATAAATTAAATAAATAAGTAATAATAATAATAAAGCTAATTGGCTGTCCTAGAACTCGGCTACAGCCTCTTGTAGATTCTAGATTCTTAAACGATTCTTGTCAGCCAAAAAAACTATTGTTTGAAAATGCCTTGATAATATTCCCACTATTCGTGACAAGTAGCTGTCACAGTTGTCACTTACAACAATATCGCTCTTATCTAATCTTACATCTTCTTCTCTCTCTCTCTCTCTCTCTGTCTTTTCATCATCTATAGACACAAGCATCGCCATCGTCGCACCTCTGATAATGAGAGCGAACTCTCTCGCGGCTCTGGTCGCTCGGGACGTTCACATCATCGCAAGCATCGACGCTCGCATCGGCATCGACGTGACAACTCGGCTGGTGGCTCGGATCACGATAGTACTCGGGGACGCAGTTACTCGGGTCATCGCAGCTCCTCGATGCGCAGCGGCAGCGCTGAGCTGATTGATTCGACCACACAGTGGAGGGAGGTGCAACGTCGCCAAGCGGAGGCAAGTCTTGGCCAGAGCTCCGTGCAGCAGGCTTCCGTTTCCAAGAGCAGCATGGTGGCACGCAGTCTGCACAGCAACGATAGCCACTCGGACACCCATTCGCACCACAAATCAAGGAGGCATCGCAAGAATAAGTAAGTAAAACTAAATGCTTAGCTGCCATCCCCTCTTTTCTGATCCACCTGTTCAATTAGGTCTCCGTCGGAGTCGCGTAGTCGCATGTGGAACAGCGAGCTGGCCAAGCATTTGCAATTCGATCTGGTGGACACGGAGGGCATGTCGGAGCAACAGTTGAGGGAGATACCATACACCGTAGTGGAGACGACCTCGAAGCGTGCCAACTCCAATCTCAAGATACACAAGAGCAACAGCAAGAATAGCGTGGGTGCCAAGAGCACCGGCTCTGGGAATACCATCACCAATGGCAGCGGAACAACTAGTGCCGGACAGGCCAAAAATCGGGTTGATCGGATTCGAGGGTGAGTTGAGTTCGTCGAATGTTTTTGGGCTGCTTCTCTGGCAGTTTCTCATAATGCTGAATTGTAGACTCTACTACCAAAGCTCTCATCCGCATGATAGCAATGTCGGCGGCGTGGGCGGTGGCGGTGGCAATGGCGGTGGTGCACCCAAAAACGGATCCATTCGATCGGCCAGCACAATCTCATCACGGGAATGCGAGCGCAACAATGGACACGGACTGGTGCGGTAAGTGGCAACTAGCACAAGTTGAAGTTTTAATTGGGCCATCGATTGAGCAATAACAATAATATTGTTGTATACCATTGTTTTTCATCCATTTACAGTTTAATCATGAATCATCGTTATTTATTTCTACATCTTTCATCTCTTATTATTCCCAGCATGATGTCTAGCATGAGCATGGGCGATTTTATCTCACCCACTGGCTCCAATCTAAGTCCATTGGAGAACTCAGCATTGCGCGTTTCCCACGAGCACACCGACTCCGGCCTAGGTGCAGATCAGGACTATGCCTACTCCTCGGAAAGGTAAATATAGAATACTATACAAATATACAACTAATAAAAAAAGAAAAACATAAACTAAAAATAAGCAACTCTAAATAAATTTCCAACTTGATAGAAAAAGTTGCAATTAAAACCAGAAACTATAAATTACTAAATCCATATTCAACTCTGAGTAAATCAATTTCAATGCTAAAATGCTTTTTTTTTGTTATTAATTTCTCGCACAGATCCAGCGATAGCACTCGCTATGGCACCAATAAATCCTCTGGCGCCTCAAGTGGCAGTCATCGCAAGTCCATTGGCAGCGCCGGTGGTGGTGGCAACAATGGCGGTGGTGGTGGCTACAACAGCCTCATGCAACAGACTGTGAGTAATCAGCAGCAGCAGCAACGTTCTCTATTCGCACAACAGCAACGCCATCAACACCAACACCAACAACAACAACAACAGCAACAACAGAAGCCCAATTATAAATACGCTTCCTCCTCCTCATCCACTAACCCGAATACAAATCTGGCGCCGGTGCATAATCCAATCGGTTCGACTACTAACTCAACGCCGCCGCCGCCGCCGCCAGCAACAGCAACAACTGTTGGCGGCGGCAGCAGCGGCAGCAACAACAGCAACATCGGCGCCGGCAATCGTTTGCTCAGCTACACAACATTTGAGAACAATCAGTACAAGTTCAGTTTAAACAATGCAATGGGCAAAGGATCTGTTGGCGCCGTTGGCAGCAGCACCAGCAATCTAACGGGTAACGGTATGGTATCGGCTAGTGGTGGTGGTGGTGGTCTTGGTGGTCTTGGTGGTGTCGCTTTCAGTCGACAGCGCAGCTTTGTCGAATGGCCCAACAATCCGGCAGCGCCGTACTACTATCAGGGCCCCTCGTCATCGTCCGCATCGCAAGTGAAGCGTCGCGATGCCAAATCGGATATTGGTGTGCCCACTCGACGTCTATCGGGACAGAGTTTGACCAAGACGCAGCTGCTCACAGGTGGCGGCGGCGGCGGCGGTGGCAGTTCTCAGCTGGCCAATGCCAGCTGCTATCCCATACACTATGCCAGCAGCAGTGTTACCAATCGTGCGTTGGGCCAACGTTCCGCGGGGAATACGCATGCGGGCAGCTTTGGTCTGCAGCCAGCGAAATCGGATCTTTTCTTGTCCTACATACATGGCGGCGAATACGAGCGTCCCTACGTCTACAACTATAAGATGCCGCCGGGTTGCAGTAACAGTGCCAGTGGTTCGCCCAAACAGTTGGCCAGCGCATATCACATCTCCGGTGCACAGACTGCCGATCCTCCGCCACCCCCGCCGCCTCTTTATGGTGGCTCGGCGCCCGCCAACGATGTCATGTACTATCAGTTTGACAAAGGCGCCGCCAAACAGCAGCAGCAACAGCAGCCGCCGCCGCCTCCCATTGTGCATCAGCCCAAATCTGTGGCAGGCGGTGCGGCAGCGGCAGCGGCATCGGCATCGGCATCGGCACCGGGGGCAACAACTGGCGGGCCATTAGTGTATCTGCAGCATGGACAGAATGTCGCGCCAACAAATGTCACCTCAACGCAGCAAACTGTGAGTAGAGTTAAGCCTTAGGTTGTTTCGCCTCAGATTCTTACTCGCAACAGTCAACCTGTCGCATGTTTGTTTGTTCCTGTTTTCGTTGTTTCTTGTCGTCCTTTTGTGTCTTGCCGCATCTTGTTGTGTGTGTGTTGCATGCTTCCCATTCTCACTCTCTGTTTGTACTTAACGTTCACTTGATGATTTTTTTTTCTTATTTTTTGTTTTTTTAATTGAATTCGTATTTTATTAGCACAATCTTAAAGCACTTTGAATTGCTTAAGTGCACTCAAAAAAAAAAAAAAGAAATGTGATAATTTTGAACTTATTTCAAGCTCTTATTCTCGTACTAAAAGCTAAGTTAATTTAAGCTAATTTTAACTGTTTTTTAAAAACTTGTCTTCTTTTTTCTTATTTATTTTATTTTTTATTTCTTATGGTATAATCCTTAAAATATATATCCTTAAAATAATCCTGATTTCGCCTTAAGATTACATCAATTTAGATTTATTCAATCATTTAAGTTCTTGATTTAGGAACTAGGACATTTTATACTTATTTCGCATACTTTTTCTACTCTATTCAAAAATCAACGATGGAAATTCCATTCTGATTACGTTACAATTGAGAATATGTTTTTTTTCCGAGTGTACTTGGCTGTAACTGCAAGTTGCACGTATACTTAACTTGCGACTTATGCTTCTATAGAGATACAACTTTGGATATTTATTATATTATTCTCACATATTTTGTCTAATAAGTAACTGAAGCTTTTATGTTGATTATTTTGTAAGTCTGATTGTAAACATTGAAAGGGAGTCAAAAGGACGCTGTCCTGACTGTATCTAGTTACATGCACTCTTATCGTTGCAAGCACACAGACTGTGTGTCAGTGTGTGTGTGTGTGTCAGTGTGTGTGACTGTGTGTTTGTGTGTGTGACTGTGTGTGTGTATGAGTGTGCTTACTTGTGTGGCTTATCAAAAGCGTCGCTATGTCTGCAAATAAACTTGCTGCTATCTGAGTTTTGTGTCTGGCGCATAGACTGGAATTTAATTAACTTAAATAGACTGCGCGAAAATAGGCGTGGGGTAAAAGGCGGATACAGAAACACTCACACACACACACACACACATAAATTTAAGCCACGTATCTTAAAGATATAAATGATTACTACGTAATGGGTTTTTGCAGTTACTTTACACAAATATATCATAAAAGAGTAGCAGAGTTTTTTTTTTATTATTCATGTGCTGAAGTAGATATGTCTAGAAATGACTACATACATGTATATATATATATTTGTATGTCTTTTTGATCAGAGTACATTTGAATCACATAGCTGTAATAGCAACAAACGATTAAAAATTAAGCTACTGTAGAGAAAAATGTTTCTTTTCAATATTCAAGTCGACTTTCGGCCATTGTACAGCAAATCCTTGAAGAATTTGTACATTTTTGCTTTGATTTCGGCACAATAACTTAGATTAATAATATCTAGTGCTTCCGGAATGTTCATGTATCATATACACATTCTCTCTTTAGCTCAATTTCACGCTTGGCTAATTAAGAGCCAGAAATATGCCAACTAATTTTTGTCTAGCAAACAAACAAATTGCCCAAAAAAGCAAAAGATATTTAATACCAACAAAGCAAAGGCGAATAGAAGATGGCTGCTGAGTTAGAGAGAGAGAGATAGAGATAGAGAGAGAGAGGGTGACAGAGGGTAATAAAGCAGCATAAATAATAAGCAACTATTTGCGCTACATTATCCAAGTTTATGTAACAACAAATGCTGGAAGCGAGGCAAGGCCTGAATAGAGGCGGTCAGGGGGCGTGGCACAGTCGAGCAAATAATTTCAACTCAAGTTGATGGCACAAATTTCGCAGCTACCACAGCAAAAATACTTACAATTCTTAAATAAATTTTGTGCGAGAGCAGCTCGACCCACATGTGTGTGTTTGTGTGTGTGTGTTTGTGTGTGTGTATTTATGTGTGTAGCAAATGGCCTTCATAGCAAGAACAGCCACTACATAGAAACATTCTCGAAATGTTTGGCATAATTTTGCTATAAAATAAATTTTGCAAAATTGTTTTTCCCTAAGCTGGAGGCAGCTTAGTAAAGCGAAGACAGCGCCTGGCAACAAGAGTAGCAAACAGCAAGCAGCAGGCAGCAAGCAGCAGGCAGCAGGCAGCAAGGAGCAAGTAGCCAGGAGCAGCCAAAGGACATCAAATAAAACAAGCAAATCAAAAATTATGACAGCACAGCAAGGAAACAGGCCACCGAAACACACATACAGACAGAGATAGCAATTGACAAAGGGACAGAGAGAGATAGACGGTGCCAAAACAGAAAAAAAAAAAAAAAACAGGAACTGCTCACGAGTCAGGCCAAAAGGCAAACGGCAAGCGTGTTTGGGCTTGGGCTTGGGGCTTGGGGCATGGGGTGTGGCGCAGGATGGCATGTGGCATGTCCTCGCCAAAGCAGTTAAGTCAATAAATTTGCTGATTTAATGTGCCAAAAGTTTCGATTGTTGTTGTACTGTCTCCTGGGCAGTACGCACTTCAGAGTTTCTGTTATTGTTATCTATTGTTGTTGTTGGTGTGGCTGTTGTTGTTGTTGTTGTTGCCTTAGGGCAACACACACAAAAACACAAATGTTAGATTAACACAATTGGTAAACAATAAAAGCGACAACTTATGGCCAGGTTTATTTGGGTTGTAAGCGTTTTGCCGCAAAATGACTTTTAAGCCAATAATGAAGCAAAAATTGGCTAAAACTGTAATCAATTGCAAAAATATAGGCAACTATTTATTTACAAGTCAAAAGTTATTTGGAATGTTTTTACATATATTTTATTTAAATATTTTAATAAAACAATAACATGAAATTGTTAAGCACGTTTTTAATTTAATTAAATATGCACCAAAAACTTCATTAAAACACTTCGCTATGTCAAATATTGATTTTTAAAAAAAATTACTTAACATTATTGAAGCGTTTAATCCACAAAAAGTTTTCAGTGAAAACAAAAATGGCAGACAAAAAGGTAAAAATATTATTCATTTTCCCGTCGACTAACTTTTTGCCAGGAATTCAACAAATGTTGAAAAGCATTAGAACTCCATCAATATTATTTGCACACACAGCAGTACCTTTTTCATAAAACAAAACTTTAAACAAAACATTGGGAAAAAAAAAACATTTGTATGAGCAATAACAAAAGAATAAGCAAATATTTTTGCATTGGCAATTGATTCATGAGCAGAAAACAATTTGTGACTCAAATAGTGCGGAAAATGCTGTAAAAAAGTTTATTTAACAATTGCTGATTTTTTTTCATATTTTTTTTTGTTTGTTCTCGACGAACGGATGATTTAATTATGCAGCATTCGGACAATAGACGTTGCACATGTTTTTTACTTTTATTATTACTATTATTATTATTATTTTTAAATCCTCTAAGCTGGTTTTTTTTTATTTTGTCCTTAACGAATGTGGACATCTGTCGCTTTTAATATTTATAAATGAACAAAAACATTTACGATATTTTTTATGCATGTGCATGAAAAAAAGTGCAGACGATAATAAAAAAAAAAAACAAACCTTTGAGCTTATGGGAGCGTAGGTATTCATTATCTATGCGAGAGTGTGTGTTGACACGCCTGTTGGCAGTTGCCAGTTGGCAGTTGCCAGTTGGCAGTTGGCCCAGACAGTTGTTGGCCCTGGTTGACATTGAACGAGGACTAGTCCCATTCAGCGGGGTACTCTTAATTGCAGGGGGCGTCGTTTTGTCAGGCAATTTGATGCATTTGCGTCTGGGCCGGAGGACCAAAGGGTGTGTTTGCCTCAAGACTATGCCTAATTAACACACACAAACACACACATGAGCCACACACACTACTACTGACACCAGCGCACCCATAAAAGTGAAAGAGAATTAATTAAATTTGAACAACCAGGGAACAAGAAGCAAGCGAATACCACCAGTTCAACCCCCAATTCTATTAATGTAAGCAATCTTGTACGTGTTTCCATTAGTCTGCAATTCAAGCTTCAATAATGTGAGCTAGGATCAGCTGCTTGGATAAGCTACTCCTTTTTCTCTTTAGGCAACAAATACAATTTTCAAGTTGAATGCAATTTTAATTAATAGCAAATCAAACAAACTTCAAGCAAATGCTCTAAATAAACTTTGTGCCAGGCACATAGGCAAAGTTTTGCTTGGCTACAAAAAGCATAAGCTCGGCGAACACACACAAAGGCCTCTGACTCAAGTGTTTGTATCTATAAGATACAAAGATACATAGATAGACACACACACTATGCTAACCTAAGATGCTTATGCGTGTGCACCTTTATGATTTCATTTACAAATGAATATGTCTAGCTATCCAACTAACAAAGTATACCAACATAATGTTTGCCTACACACACACACATGCATCGGATTTGAGAACGTCTCTGTGTGTGTGTGTGTGTGTGTGTGTGTGTGTGTGTGTGTGTGTGTGTGTGTGAGTGTTTGTATTCAATCATAATAACAGCAAATGTGCTACAGCAAACATATCTTTGGCCAAATTGAATGAGCTTTTAAGTGTATTGAGATTGCGACTTAAGACTCGATACGCAAGTTGATGTATGGACCAATAGGTGTACCTAAAGCTATATCAATTACGAAATTAATTCAATTGCGTTATGCTTAAAGCAAACTGTTTTTAAATGGTTGATTTACGTATGAAATGAAACGCGACCTAATCTCAAATATATTTCAAAGATACTAATTTGATGTATTTAGCTTGCTATTGTAGTCCGCATCAACTTTTATATTACTGATCTCTTGAAAGTACTCTTATATTGATATTCAAGTTTGCAAAGAATCATCCATATATATTTCGCTGCTCCAACAACATTTTTTTTTTTACAAAAGGGATCCTTTACGTGTAGCTGAAATCTTGTATAACTTTATTTAGAATGATATGCTGTTTTCTTTATTTATTTTTCATTTATTCTGTGATTCATGGACAAACAAGAAAAACACTCGAACATACCTTTAGTACAACTTTGCGACACGTTGGTTTATTTCAAGTGTCCACAACAGCAACAGCGGCAACAATAGCGACAACGACAACAACAGCAACAGTAATGGCAACTACATCTCACAGCTATCCGTGAGTGCCGTGGCGATGCAATCAATTATTAACCGCAGGACGTATGTCATGTGCAATGCATGCCTCAACTTCATCAGGTTCGGTTGCCACCCTGGTTTCAGGTCAGGTGTTTAGCCGGCGGTCACTTTATGAACGCAATCAGGCGAGCTTTTGTTCACATCCCCTCCCTGCTCAATATCTACACACACAGTTGGGGTATCGAGTACTGTTTGCCATTGTTCGTCGCATTGTTGTTGCTGCCATTTTACGCAGCATTTGATTTGTGTGTAATTAAATTTTGTGTACCTGCTGATCTAATAATAAATTTATATTGCCAGCATTCTGTAACTGGTTTTTAGCTGAACCAAAATGTTTGTTTTTTTGTTATTTTATTTGCGAAAAAGTGTATTTAGTGTATAGAGTATATAATAATGTAATTGCATGGCGCATGTTTGCCTGCATATCATAATAAGTGTTTAGTTTATTTCGTTGTTGATATTAAATCACCAACAATAATAATATTTGATTAAGTCTCTGTTGCTAAAAACAATTGCCAAGTAATTGCATGATTGCATTGTGCTAAAAATCTGTGTTTGATATTATTAGTGCCTGTCTTAGCATATTTACCCCTGCAAGAGAGCTAAACCACCTTGTTTGTGTTTTCAATACCCCCCAAAAAAAACCCAACAAATATCGAACAATCCACAAAAAAAAAACACAATGCACAGGCAATGCACTCATCGCACTCCTGCAGCGAGGAGGATGAAGTGATGGCAGTTTTGGAGTCTCTGCAACCGGATGCTGCAACCACAACTAATGATGAAACCGAAGATACCGATGATGTTTATGACGATGAAGCCGCCGAGGCTGAGGATATGTTTGATGCTGATGTGCCTTTGATGTCGCCCACAGGCAGCCACAACAGCAGCAACAATAGCAATACCAATATCAACAACAACAATAATGCCAATCGTAATGCAATAACAACAACATCAACAACAGCAACATCAACAGCCACATCAGCAACAGTCGCATCCATTTCCGTTTTGGCCAATATTAATCTAGATAATTGCAATGCGAATGTCTACAGTGGTCAGCACTGTGCCAACGACACCAATTCACAGCAGCAGCAGCAGCAGCAGCAACAACAGCAAGCATTGCCAATTACCACAGCCAATCAAACGTTAAATTGTCCCACATTGAATGCAAATAGCAATAGCAGTAGCAATACCAACTCCAATACGAATGTGAATGAAAACCACCCAACATCCCCCACAACCATCCAACAGCAAATACAGCAACAGCAAGCCACAGCAGCTGCAACGCATTCACAACGTACCAATTCCAATACGCACTCGAATTTGCAACAAAATCAAAACATTTCCTCCAGCTTAGAGATAATCCTATCGCCAATTATACAAAGTAGTCGCCGGTAAGTTTCATTTCTTAGTTTTTCTTCATTTTTGTTAAAATTTTTCCTTTTTTTTGTTTTTTTTTTGTTTTGTACTTGACTTGTGCTGCAAGCGTTTCTTGCCAGCTTGTCGTCGTCTGTTTAAATGTATACGTTTATATTTGTTTTTGTTTAATTATGTGTGTGTAGCTAACAAGCAGATTCTTTAATATAATATTGCTAATTTCTAGTCTTAAGTAGGTGCGCCCCTTTTTGAACCTATCCAACCGCATGCAACCACAGCGCAACCACAGCAGAAACTGCTGCACATAACATGTTGCAATTGGGGTCGACTTAAGCTCGACTTAACGAATGTGTATTGAATTGAGAACCCCAGTTTGAATTTTAATGCCAACAAGCCATCAACCCTTTCAATAAACCAAACAACATATATAATAAGCTTAGTGCAAGTTTTAAACCTTTAAGTCGAAATTTAGTGCTCCAAGGAAAGTTGACAAGTTTTTTAGATGTTGTCAGAAATTGTTTTTGTTGCGTTAAATGTTTAAATTTTAACATTTTAACACTTAAACATTTGAACATTTTGTTGACACCAAACTGAGAAAAATAAAAAGTAAGTTGAAATTTTGACAGTTGGGATGAGAAAACGAAACATAAACAGATAAAACTCTGTTCTATTTTGAACAAAAAAAAAAGTGAGAAAAGGAAACAAAAAAGTTGCACTTCAAGTGAAACATGAATTTTGCCAAGCCCTCAAAAAACACACAAAAATATAATATTATCTTTATGTCGAGCAGCTCTATATATTTATATGCTTTTAAGTGAGCGCTTCAGTTCTTTTCAGTTATTTTAATTGAAAATCACTTGCACTCATCGCCAGCTGAAAATTTCTTAATCAAATTGCTCGACAAGCGGCACAGAGAGACAGACAGACAGACAGACAGACAGACATAGCGATACTTTGCCTTTAAGAGGCACCCCCTGACAAAAGCTAACCAAATAAAACAGAATAAAAACATTATAAATTATGTATTAATGTGCCTGTTAGGCCAATGCGTGCGGCTCAACGCACAGTGGGGCCAAGAGTGTGTGTGTGTGTATGTGTGTGTGTTAAGGGTAGTGGGTGTGTCAGCAGGAGCAGCTCCCTTGGCGGCAGCTTACGCTTTGGCCTTTAGATTCACAGTGGGAAGCTTCTTATGGCCGGGCCAAAGCCAGAGCACTTTGCCAGCTGCCAATTTTCAATTGCCTGCAAGGATACTGGAGAAACAATGTGAAGCGACAATAACAAGAACAACGACGACAATGATGATGGGGAAATTGAGGAAAATGGAAAAGACGCTTTCGCGTTACATTCGTTTTCATTTCAATTTCACTTGGTGCTTGCTTTTATTTTGGATTTACATTTGATTTGACTGTCTCTCCACGGTTTTCGATACCCTTGCATTGAGGTTGTCATTGGATTGTCGTGAAGGGTGCCACGCATTGATTACTGACTTTATTAACTGAGTTAAAATAGTTAGTTAGATGAATAAGCATGGCTAAAGATGAATGAATTATCTTAACTCGTTTAGTAATTCGTCAGTCAGTCGTTTACTAACTTATTAACATCATTTGGATGTGAGCAAGTGGACTCTGTTACTGTTAGGGTATTTGCCTTGTTTGTTACTGCTTCTGGCGCTGTGTTTTTGTTACTGTTTGTTTATTTTTGCTCCATCTACGTTTTTACGCTCGACAGGGCAAAGGGCACACAAATATTTATGCGAGTCGAAGACAATGCCGAATGCCGAATGCCGAACGACGAAATTCGACAGCCCATTTACAAATGAATAGGTTAATGTCTGTGGGGGTTGGGGGTTAGCACGGATCGTGGGCGTGGCTGTTGCCTTGTTTATGGGGCAAAAGTTCAGGCAGCGCACAAATTGACTTTAAACATGTCAATTTAAATTTGTTTCTACGGAAGTGGGCAACAAACATAAAAAAAAATAAGCAAAATAGCATGGCCCATTCAATTTTTGGGGCCCCCTCTCTATTTGCGCCTCATTAGCGCGTTGGCAGAAAGGTCGCTTTCATCCATTTACATTTTGTTTTTCGAGTTCCGTCACAAATATTACTCATACGCCGCATTGCACGCAGCCATTGAAGCAACAAAATGACAATTTCACAACAAATTAACTGCGCAGCCAGGCAGGCAAACATTTCATTTTCAGACATACTACATATATGAAGATATGATATCACACACAAGAGATTACACACACACACACACACCCATACACACATACACACACACACACACCAACCCAAAGAGGACAACAAAAATTGCACCGAAAGCTAAGCAAATGACCTTCAAACTAGATAAGCGAAAACAAAACAAGCGAAAGTGCTAAAAATATCCATAATTTTCACCAAACACACACACACATACATACAAAAACAAATAAAAAACCCTACACACACACACACACACACACACAAATACGATGGGAGAGAGACAACGGGGGTTGGGGAGTTGCTGAAAATATGATGGCCCTGGCAAAGGCACAAAAGCAAAAACATTAAAATTTACGAGGCTAGGCGATACTTGCCGGGTCCTGGTCCTATGTCCTTGTCTAAGTATATATGTATGTGCCCAAACATAAATACAAATTTCAACACAACAACACCGAAAATAAGCGATGAAAGCAAAAAGGCTCAAACCAAGTACAACAATTTCATATCGCAGCCAAATAAACAAAATACAACAACAAACACAAAAAATAACAAACGAAAATATTAAACAGAAAAATAGCGAAAAGTGTTTGATTGGCACAACTGGAAGCTCAAATGCTCTACAATAATATGACAAATACAAAATGGGGAACAAAATGAATCTTCTTTTTTGTTTGAAAAATTATTTTGCATATTCAATGCGAAATTTCGAGTTTTGTATTTGGTTGAGCAGTAGAAATTGTGCTTTTTGTTTGTTTGTTTTATTAAGATATGCTTCTAAAACTGTATTTAGACTCGCGTTTTGGAAATTAAGAGAGATATTTATTATTTTTATACAAATTATTGGAGCACATTTAATTATTTGTTTTATGTTTTTTTTAGTGTACAGTCAAAGTCTGTCCACTATGAAATATATATGCCTCTTAGCCAAGGTAGTACGCGTATGATTCAGATTGTTTGGTGCAGTGTACCAAAAAAAAAGTACAACTGTCCCTTGTCTGCGCGGGCAATTCTCATTTCGTTGCCTTTTGTTTTCGGTACGTTGCCACCCATCGATTCGCGTCTGGCGAAAAGGGGCAAGTAAAAGTGACGCCAAGGAAAAACATTGGAAAACTTTACGCAGTTTTCGCTCGACAACAACAAGAACACACAAGGGGACAAAAAGTGCTGAAAATGTTGAAAGTGCCACAGTGGCGGCATTCGTAAATTTTGACGCACGCATTTCGCCAGATAAGCCTATGAATGTCTCTGTACAAGGAGTAGACAAAGTTGCCTTTGAAATTATGTGTTGGCCATTTTTTCCTTTCCCTTTTTTTTTGTATGTTTCTGTTTCTGTTCCTTTCTTTTTTCTTTTTTTTTTTTGTTTTTCTTTTTTTTTAGGTCTCTGATTAAATTAAGTAATTATTTTGTGTGTTGTTGTGGCGCCCAAAAATCAACAACTAAGCCATAAAAACCAGCAACTGGAGTACAACGCAAAGTATTTTATGTAAACTACTAATATGCTTATATAATTTAATGGCCTTTAAGTTTGCAAACAGTGTTTTTTTATTATGTTCGCTTAATGTACTCACTCAAAACGCATAGTAGCTTAGCAAAAAAGAAAAAACATTAAATAAAAAAACAAAACAACAAAACAACTAACTAGCCCATAAACATTTACACACATACACATACACATACACATACACTTGCACATTGTACGCACTTTATAACTAAGATTGCTTTGCAAGAAAGGGTAAACTTTTTTCTAATATGCAAAAATGGTTGCAAACCATTTCTCTCTCCTTCTATTTTTCTTCATTTTTTTTCTTTCATGCCAACAACAATTTGCATCCTCCAACAATAATGCAACTACAACAACAATAACAAATGCAGAGCGCAATTGTAAGCGAAATGAGCACAGAATTGTGAGAATTAGCTAAATTTAATTTGCAATAGCCAACAACCCAGGTCCAGGCACAGCAACAGCAGCAACAACAACAATTCGTTGCACTAGCAGCTGCCACAGTTTGCGCCTCAGCGCCGCCACCAACTGCATTCTGCAAACATTGGCTGCAGCAGCAACAACAACAGCAGGAGCAGCAGCAGCAGCAACAACAGCAGCAGCAGCAGCAGCAACAACAACAGCAGCAGCAGCAGCAGCAACAACAGCAGCAGCAGCAACAACTATTTGAGCAGCAGCAAGCCTGGCTATAAGCAGCAACAACAGCAACGACAGCAACAACAGCAACAACAACAACGACAGCAACAACAACAACAACGACAACAACACGTGTAAGTGCAAAGTTAAATGTAAACTACATCCGTACGATTGCACAAAAGTATGCTATAAAAAATAAGCACAAAACAATGCAAGAGCTGCAAAAGCACTCGGAAAAAAAAGACGAGAATTTATGTACTCAAATTAAGTGCAAAAGTGGACGACAAAATTGTATCTTTAATTTTTAAAATTTAGATCTTAATCCGGAAAATTGCCATTGTACAATTCAATCACAATCGTTCTCATTTTGAAAACGGTTGCGTTCCTGAAGCAAGTCCAGATATTTGCCAAGTCACGCATTTGATAACTTTGAGTGAGATATTTCTTAAGTTAAGTACTCCAGCTGTGAAATCATAAGAATATCAGTCTAAAATTAAAGCTCTTAAATTATGCAATAATTTAAAGTAATGCATATTTTGTAACAATTTCGAACAACTTTTTTCTCTGAGTGCAGCAGCAACTAGCAACGCCAGCAATCAACATCAACAACAATAAAGAACATTTAAAAGCCGTTGGGCCAAAAGTTTGTGCAAAACTTTCAACATTGCTTGGGCGATTGTCGTTTGCAAATTAAATGTACATTTTGCCAACATGTAAATAGATAATGTCTGTAACGAGTCTTAGTATGTATGTATGTATATATAGTGTATGTATGCATCAGTACCAGCATCAAAATGGGCTTAAAACTAATTAGCTAAGAATCAAACAGAACACTTTAAAATAAGCAACAAGAAACGAGTAACCGAGAACCGAGAACCGAGAACCGAGAAATAAATATATTTCCAAAATAGCTTAAGTTGCGCAGCAAATAATCAAAAAGCCAAAAAAGCAAATGTAACTCACAAGATGATAAGAAAGAGCAGAACAACAACAGAAACAACAACAGAAAGAACGACAGAAACAACAACAGCAACAACAATAACAATAGCCAACAGCAGCATAAAAGCAAAAATAAATTGTGCGTTAATGATAAGCGGCGCGCATTTCAGCGGCATAAAATTTATTAAAATATGCGTGAGGCCCAAAACCAGGAGCAGAGCAGAAGAAGCATCAAAAGCAGAAGAAGAAGAAGAAGGGCAGGCAGCACAAAAATATTTATGCTCACGATGTATGCTATACATATATGTCTATATGTATGTTCGAGGCTAAGCTACACACACGCACACACGCACACACACAAACACACACACGCACACACACACAACAAAAAGACTCGCGCTTCCTGGCCAAGGAAATCGTTAGCGATAAATATAAAATTTTATTGTTATGCGTGTGTTGCTTTCACATATGTATCTGTGTGTATATAATGTGTGTGTGTGTGTGGCCTGCAAGTAAATTAAATATGCTTTTTTATTAACTACTAAGAACCAATTTGATACGCATACAAATAATGCCGCACCAAGTAGCATGAAAAATTATGTAAAATTTAATTTTACTTCGTATGGTAAATTCAGAAGAGAAACAAAAAGGAAAGCAAAGCCAAATAAAATTTATTTAGTAGCACATAAATGTAATTTTAATAAAATTATATTATATATATGCATATGTGTATACATATATATATATATGATGTCGGTATGTATGTGTTATGAAACAAGGAAACTAGAAACTTATATAATAAAATAAACTACTCACTTTACTTATGCCAACAACGTCCAGCAATTTCAATAATATTTATGTAAGCGCAAACCGAAAAGAACAAACACACAACACACACACAACACACTCAAACACACACACACACACACACACACATGCCTACACATTTTGACCATATTTTAAGCCCAACTTAGTTTAATCATTTGCAACTAATTTAAGCGCAAATATTTGTATATCTATTGCTATATATACGTATGTGTATGTGTGTGTGTGTTTGTGGGTGTATGCAGAGAGTGTGTGTGTGTGTGTGTGTGTGTGTTTATCATGTAAATATAAATATTAATCTGTTTTCAGCTATTTTCTTTATGCTCTCTTTAGTAGTAAATATAAAAATAAAAAAAAAAACGAAATACAATTAATTGAAAATTCACTGCCACTATGCAAAATATTTATAATTACGATTATAATAAATAGAGTTTTGTGTGGTCAAATTAAAAACACGTATATTACATAAATACTATAAATCCAATAAAAATATTGTACCCTTTGTGGGTTGAACGATTTTTTAGTACTAAAAAAACAAAAAACGAATAACATTTAAGTATCAACATTAATTAAAACGAAACATTATATATGTATATGTATCTGTGTCTAACAAGATTTTACAATGAGTGTGTCACTTTTATATATCTAATATATATACGATATACAATAAACAAAATAACTGCAAATAAAAGCATTTTATACAACAAACAAAAACCACATTTAACCTTGTTTAAAATTACAGCTGCGGGAAAATATTGACCCAAGGGCAACTTCAACTGTGGAAAAACACTAAAAACTGAAAAGCATAACAAAACCAGAGCCTGATAAGCAGGCAAAGTGGACAAGACAAAGGGCACGATAAGCATGAATTGAGTAGACAAAGGAGGCAGGCGACAAGCAAAAGTTTTCATCCCAAAACGTGGACAAGGACCAACCAAAAAGACAAGGTTCAAAATTAGCTAACTGACACACCAAGAAAAGAAATCATCCCCTGAGTTATAAGTAAAAGACAAGTGGCAAGTCGATAACAATGCGCATAACTGCCAAGATAAGCCCAACAAAGGAAATCTGCAACATAGTTGAAGTTGCAAGAGCTCTTAGAATGAATGCTCCAAAGGTAGCCAAGAAATAAGAAGAAATTGTTTATGAGCCATTGATAAAATGTATGTGGAAATGAGTGCTTATTTTTCTACAGGATTCTTTAAAAATTACATTAAATTTCTAAATCTGTCAGAAGCATATGTATAAATTATCCATATTTATGATTAGAGCATTATTCCACCAGTCCAAGAACCTTGGGAAGTCGGAGGCAAGGTTTACTGACTTGGCAGGAAGGACTATAACAAACATGGCCCACGACAGCCTTGGACCATCACCAGACGAGAGCGCTAACTTAAATTGGACAAGTTAGAGGCTGTGATGCCAATGCTCACCACTCTCAGTGGATCAGGACTTAGAGCTGGCACTGGACATCGCCATACGTTGTCACAACGGTATCAACCTTGGTCGGCAACCGTTAAACATAACCTAACCTATGATCAGAGCAAAGTCAGTTAAAATGATGTGGTTATAATCCGTCTAAGTGAATGCTGATTATATGTCCTTATAAAATATACAATTTGTTGTAATTGAAAGTAAAGTCATACAAAAAATCTTTTTAAAACAAATACAACTGCAGCATTCTTATTTATTTTGTATGTCTACGTCCAAAATTTGGCAGCTGAAGAAAAACACAAAGTTATAATATATACAGACATGTGTTTCCTGCACAATTACTCCCCCGTTGGAAGTGTACAACTTTCGCATTACGCGTTTTCCAAACAGATATAAAAGCATTTTGGTATTTAATTACACTTGCCAGGGTCACAGAGTTGCCAGACTATCGTAAAGGGAGTGTTAGTAAATTATCGTCCATAGAGCATAAATAAGTGTTGTCAAATCATATTACACGAAGCCAAATGATTCGTAGAAAAGTAGATTGTTAATAATTAACTATGAAAGATTATATATTATATGATTGAAAAAAAAAGTCAAATTATCGAATATATTTTGGAAATCTGTGTTCTATTAGCACGTGTTGACCTTTTTGCAGGGCAATACAATCAAAAGTATAATAGGGATATTGAAAATATCAAAACAATTAATTAACCCATATATCAAGTTAACAATTATTGTATTTTTTGCAAAAAAAAAAAATGAAGAATTAAAAACTAACAACAACGCAACGTAGATGATTTGGATGTTCCCAAAGTATCATTATTGTTTGCTTTTACATTCAAAGAATACAGCCACCAACAGAAGCAATATAAATTTAATTAATTAATGTCGACATAAGCCGCTGTCACATCAAATTATATTTGTGGGAGATAAGCAAGAAAAGAGATTTGGAAACGTTTATTTCATTTTTTATAATTATTGTATAATTTGTGAAATGTTTGCTGCAGGTGCTTTTGCTGTAGGAGAGGCACTTTTCCAATTTTCTCTTCACATAGTCAATTGATTAAGCTTTGACATCATTTATATTTATAAGCCCAATTATTAAACATCTTGCAAATTGGAAGAAAAAAACTAAATTAGCTAAAATAGAAACATAATTTTCGATAATTTGTCAAATTTGCTGATTAAACAAAAATTTTACTGAGCATTTTGATGACTTTCTTTTGCGATTTAATGACTAATCAAAAGTTTTTAGCAGCTAACTTAGAGCACTATGTTTTCATTTCAATATTCAAAACATTTATAAAAACAATATGCGTCAATCGATTTGTATTCATAGCTTAATCACCAATATGCCATTAAAAAGTATCGATTTATTTTCCCCGATATGCAGCAAATTGGAAAATATATAGATACATATATATGTAGAAGATATATATGTGTATTAACATAAGTATATAGGGCTATATATTCTCCTTCTCTTTGTTACTCAACATTTTTTGTTAATAATATATATTCAGCGGTATTCCCTTGATTATATTTCCATTTTAAATAGGCGGCATATCTGTACAAAAATATTGCCAGACAATGTCAACTTTGAGTAATGAGTTGTTGTTTCAAATTATCGAATTTATTTTGGATATCTTTGTTAAATTAGCAGGCGTTGACATATTTGGACGGCAAAACATTCAAGATTGATTAATAAGGCTTAACCCAAAAATCAAGTTAACACACTGTATTATTTGCAAAAAAAAAAAATGAAGAATTGAAAAACGAATGCTGGCAAACGAAATCTTTACAATGAACAACAACGCAAACAACAAGCTGGTAACGGTGGTCGCCACTGCTGGCTATGGCCCAGATACGTTGACCGAGATCAGCTATTTGGATAGCAAGGTGATTGGCAACGGCAGCTTTGGCGTTGTCTTTTATGCCAAACTGATGCCCAGCAACGAGCCGATAGCGATCAAGAAGGTCCTACAGGATCGTCGTTTCAAGAATCGTGAACTGCAGATAATGCGCAAATTGAAGCATCCAAATATTGTTGCACTAAGGTATTTCTTCTATTCAAGTGGGGAAAAGCGGGAGGATGTCTATCTGAATCTCGTCATGGACTATATGCCGGATACGCTGTACAAAGTGGAGCGACAATATGCGCGGGCCAAGCAAACACTGCCCGTCAACTATATACGTCTCTATATGTATCAGTTGTTCCGGAGTCTGGCCTTTATGCATAGCTTTGGTTATTGTCATCGGGATATTAAGCCACAGAATATGCTCCTCAATGCGGAGACGGGCATTTTCAAGCTTTGTGATTTTGGCAGCGCCAAACAGTTGGTTGTTGGCGAGGCAAATGTCTCCTATATCTGCTCCAGATATTATAGATCGCCTGAGCTGATATTTGGCGCTACTCAGTATAATACCAAAATTGATATGTGGAGTGCTGGTTGCGTTGTGGCTGAACTCCTACTTGGTCAACTCATCTTTCCTGGCGATTCGGGCGTCGATCAAATCATTGAGATTGTGAAGATAATTGGAACTCCAACATCACAGCAACTGAACGACATGAATCCCAACTACAAGCAGTTGAAGCTGCCACAACTCAAGCCGCATCCCTGGCCAAAGGTCTTTCGCATACGTACCCCTTCGGAGGCAATTGATTTGGTGTCCAAGTTGCTCATCTATTCACCCAATGAACGTATTTCACCACTGATGGCCTGCGCCCACCCGTTCTTCGATGATCTGCGCAACCAACCCAACCAGCAGCTGCCCAATGGACGTCCCCTTCCTCCACTCTTTGAATTTTCGGAGTACGAGAGGAAAATTGAGCCGAAACTGATGCCAGTGCTGCTGCCAATGGAGAGTTTTGAGAAGGCAGATACATCCAAAAGCTCGGAGAATCGACGCACCGCTGGCGAGGATTGCTCACCTCAAGTGGATGGCAATCAGTCGACATTACGGAAGTCCCATACGGGATCTCAACTCAGGTCGCTATCAAGAACAGCTCCGACCCTCCAGCGACTCGAACTGGGCAATGGTGATCATGTGGAACCGATGGATTGTTTCCAGATGATGGACACTGAAGAGCCGGCAACCGAGGTGGCAGTTGATAATGAGCAAGGCGATAGCTCTGAGGGCTCCACTTCCAGTGATGAGCAGCAAACCGATGAAGATGAGGATGATGAAGACGAAGGTTATGAAAATGACGCTGGCCTTGTTAATGATGATGACGATGATGTAGATGGTTTGGATGTTCCCTAAGTATCATTATTGTTTGCTTTTACATTCTAAGAACACAGCCACCAACAGCAAGCAATAAAAATTTAACGTATAACGAAATATTGGCTGGAAATCGAATATCCATTTTACCCTGAGCTTATCTTGGCGAATCGCACGATATTTTTGTGAAGATGTCAAAATAATGCATACAATGACAAAGTATTGCAACTGTCAACAATAAAATCAAACAAAACAAACAACAATTAAATTTATTTTTATAAGAAATTGGCAACTGTTGCATCTGTTTAACTTATCAGAAATTATAATTTGCAATGAATTACTTGCGATGGATAAAAGTTTGTTGATGCCAACAAGGTGTTGCAGAAAAATTAAAATAAAAATAAATCTAAATTCTCGACAAATGTTTGGTTTCTGGAAGTGATACTCTTGGGTTTCTTTTCATTTTGCTTTTCTTTAATCAGTTAATTTGATTTTAAGCAAATTGTATATTGAGAATAAATACAAATGTGCTTATAATTAATCTAGATTTCGTTTCCAGCAACAATTGATGCAGGCAATAAAAATTTAATGTCTATTGAAATCTGGGCTCGTAAATCTCAGGCCCCCAAAGGCAGCGTCAAAATAAATGAGCGGAGCGCTCATTTTGGTCACATCATTTATAAGGTCGCAGAAATGTCGCCACATTCAACGAGAAACAGACGCCAGAGAAACACACACTCCAACTCATTCGAGCGCAAAGCAAATGGACATGAAAACGCCTAGAAGTATGCTTAATTATTGAAATGCCAAGGCGGTCAGAACGATGATGTCCTTGCTGCCCTCTAAATACAATACATTTTCGCGTTTTATAGCGTCAGCATTACGAACAGGACTACAAAACAACACGCACACATGTCCTGTTCCTGCTGCTGGCGACGGCTCACATTTCCTGCCACATCCATCGTCCTGTAACCCTCGATGTGTGTATTTGTGTGTGTGTGTGTTAATGTGGTAAAATGAATTTTCAGTTTCATTAGTTAAATTGAATAATGGAAAACTTTGCTCGCCACATTTGCCATACGTCTTGTTGTTGTTGTGGCTGTTGTTGCTGCTGCCCTTGTCCTGGTCTACCAACGAAAGTTACACTTCCTGTACACACTCACACACACACATACAAGCCAGCACACACACACACGCACGTTAAAACAACAACTATAGGTTCACAGGCAGCAGGGCAATAAAGCAAATTTATGCAAACGATAAATTTTGTGAGAGAGAATGTTTGTTTTGTTTTTGCCAGCTCAACTTGGCTGGGGCTTTATAGTTCCTCGCCTTGTTGTTGTTGATGTTGTTGTACTCCTTCTTGTTGTAGCTATTATTGGCTGTTGTAAGTGGCAGTGTTGCAAAAGGCGCTAAGTAACAGTAGCCCATTAATTCGAAAGTTGTTGAAAAGTGACCGTCCGCATTAAATAAAACGTTGAATACTTATTATTTAGTCATGTCCTTAATACTGCACTTGCACGTGAATATAATTTAATGCAGCTAATTGTCATAAAAAGATCAGCAATTAATGGGGTTCTTGAAGAACAGTCTTAAGTGCTTGAAGTCATATGAAATATGTACTTTTGTTTTCAGTTGGACTCCAACACAGAAAACTCTCTGGTCTTTTTCAAATATTAAATTCCAATTCAATTATCAACTTCTATGGTTATAGATGTTCCTCTGAAGTAGATCATTGCTATTACTTAACTTGTATTTTAAATTTGAAGAATTCTAAAGGGACTCGCCTTTTGATGTTGATCAAGAAGATATACTTTAAGTTGTCTGAGATGTTGCTTCTGCCTGATAAATCCATTTGCACAACTTCAACAATTCCAATAATTGTCTTTGAAATAATTATTCTAGCATTATAATAAGGATCAACTGTGCTGCTCAACATCCATCTCATCCATCTTTTTTAAGTTGGCGAATCCCACATTTATCTGAAATGGTAATGTGTTTAATCAAGCAATATCTGATTTGACGAGTTCATCTACTGCAAAAGTTAGCAAACACATTTATTTACTTACAAGTGCGAGTATCTTTTGCAACAGCAATACCAACAACAACAACAACAACAACAATAAGAGCAGCAGCACCGTAATAAACACGCCAAAGTGTTTGCGTGTTTCTCTCTCTGTGTGTGTGTGTGTGTGTGTGTGTGGGTATGTGTGTGTGTGTACCTTTTTAGCAGAGAGTGTTTCGGTTGGCCGTGCAAAACCTTTGACTGAAGTGAGATTACGGTATGCTACACACTATATAATGGCAAATCATGGAGCCATGAACACGCAGGAGAGACGCAGAGAGACGTCTGACTTTTGGCGAGGTGCGGCACACCACCAGTCGACTGCAGAAACCGGGCAACCCCACTCCAATGGGCAGGGCGGGACCAGAAGCGGCAACAGCACCCAAGGCAATGAAACATTTTTCGGTAGCAAACGCCCATTGGGGCGAGTGGTTGGGAACCAAGCACTAACTTGCAGGCATTTTACGGCCTTTTGGGCAACGGGAATGGTCTTTGGAAGCGAACTACACTCAGCAAAAAAAATTAGCATTGCTTGCAAAGGAAATGATTGGCTCAATAACGTTTATTGTAATTCCAAATACTTTTATTAAACCAATAAACTAATTAATTCTTTCAATTAAATATTTAGTTCGTATTTCAGGTACTTTCGTTCTAAAATCAATTATGGATTATCTATTAGGTGTATACAGAAAATAAGGATAGAACCAGAAAAATGGTGAGGGGAAAGCTGAAGAGGAAAAAAGAAAGAAAAACTACGAAAATAACTGAATCTGTAGAATTGAAAAACCAGAAATTAAATCAGTAATGTACTTGAAATTGGTACCAATTTATTTCTCTGAGTGTGGAGCTGTAACTGAGTGAACGCAGTGGGTCATGGTGCTTGTGTTGTTGTTGTTGTTGGTATCTCTTATATATGTTTCTGTTGTTGTTGTTGTTGTTGTTGTTGTTGTTGTTGTTGGTATCTCTGGCTGCTTTCAATAGCTACTAACAGGCAGCCGTCCGCCCAAGGTGAATGCGGTTAAAGTGTTTTTAGTTAAAGCACTCGGCTACAAACATTTGCATAAACGCCTGGCAAACAGGCAAACAAACAAATGGACTGCCAGCTATAGAAAGAGACGGAGTGTGTGGGTGAGTGTGTGTAGCGGTAGAGAAATAAGCTACGTTGCTATTGCAACTGGCTGAAATTCGAGTGAGACCAGAATTATTTTATTTCCGTTTCCGGGCACGCACACTTGTAGCGCTGCAGATGTATGTATCTGTAACAGTAGTCAAGTGCAATGTGCGCCTGCGGTTGCTACCTCTCTGCATACTGATAAATTTTCACTAAATGCAATTTTAATGGGCTTTGTACAACTGCCGAAATATGTAAGTGAAGCGACCCAAACAACTAACCCAAACTATCCATCCATTCATTCATTCATTCACTCGTTGTAAACGTCAGAGATGAACAGCATTTAAACTTGTCGCAAGACTTGTAAACTCTGAACTGGAGTGTTGTCAAAGGTAATTACAAGTGTTAGATAAGTTGAAAAATAGTTGATGAATTGTAACATAATGAAAACCATTTTTATAAATTAAATATTAAAATGTGATATATTAAATCAAGCTTAAATATCATTCATAATTTACCAATCTTCTATTTTCAATCTCTGTGGCAATAAGCCGTTTAAAGCTTTTCTTGGGCATTCAAAATATTACGAATAGAATTTTGAATAGGGTTAATAGATATTAAGTAGATGATTTCAGTTTTGTGCCAATTGCCACAAAATGTATGCAAATGGAATAATTATGCATTGTAAACAGATTAGCAGTAATAAGCTAAATACAAAACTGCTAATTAGAATAATGTTTTAAAATAATCACTCTCAACCTTATTGCTCATCTCTACAGGTTATTTTGAAAATGTATTTGCCCATTGTGGAGGTGAAGAGGCATGAACCATGGCAGATTGGAGATTGGAGATGGGGAGTCGGACTGCGGTCTGCTCAAATAAAGCAGTTCCAGTTAGTTATGCGCAGCTTGCGGTTTTACTTTGACTATTTTTGCGTGCACAAATTTCAAATGCAGTGCAACGTGTCGGGGAATGAGCAAGAATGTGGCATCAGTTAGCAAGGGGAGGAAGGGCAGGGCCACCGTATAAATGCCAGACACACTAATTAGGAAATTCTTTGCTTTAATGCCGTAAACGGATTCCACATAAATTCAATATTGAATTTGCACGCCCCAAAATAGAATGAGAAAAATATTGCTAGTTTTTGGCATAGTGAAAAAAAAGACATCGAAAAGAAAAGATAAAAGTTGATCAGGTCTTCTTTTTTTTCAAAGCGTCAAAAATGTGAGATTGAATTGAAGCACCGCATGTTGGCCATTTATGCACTTGAACTTTATGAAAAGCGCAGAAGTTTCCGCAAAATTGAAGTTTTAATTGGATTCTCGATTCAATTAACAGATTTGTCAGCATGTAACAGTTTTATGATGCTTACAGCAGCAACACTACACTTAGAAAAAAAATTGTAGCCCAGGTAATATCGCTCTGAAGATCAGAAAGAAATTTAGTATTATATAAATAGTTTTTAAAGGTAAATCGACTGAATTTAAGTAGACAAGTTATTAGAAATGAAGACACTTTAATTAAGTTTGTAGTCTTCTTAACTCTCTGTTTTTTCTTTCTTCGAAACTCATCCAAAATTTGAAGCTGAAATGAATAACTTAATATATTCCATTAGAGAATAAGTGTTTCTTGAATCAAGATTTTCACATTTAGTTTTATGGTTCTAATAAATTAGTCCAAAATACTGGACACACTTGATTTTGTTGAGTGTAGCAGCAGATACGGTGGCAGTTGTGGCAACAGCATGTGTCAGGCAACATCGTTTTTGCTTGTAGGCGTGGCCGTTGCTCCCTCAATTGATGCTTTTACTTAGTTACCTTGGTGTGCGCTTTTCAAGCCGCATGCAATTTATTGAAATTGATTTGCCATTTTAATGGAATTACTATGCCAAGTGCTCTAGCCAGCATTCCCATCTCGACGTTTAATTGAAATCTTTTAATTAGT